GAGAGAGAGAGAGAGACAGAGAAGGAGAGGAACTTGGTGATCTTTTGTCCAGCGCATCATTTCATCACACATCCTTCAGACTTTCCCTCTTTCTTTCACCTCCTTTCCCTTCCTTTCCTAGACACGGAGCAGCAGCCGCACCAGTCATCCCAGGGGGAAAAGTGTGTGTGTGTGTGTGTGCGTGTGTGTGTGTGTGCCTGTCCTCTCACACCCTGACTAACGTGAATCATGTACTTTCTCATATCGGTGACAGCTAACTAGACAGGGGCTTTAGCTGCCTCTGACCCCCTCAACCCCTGTCATTTTTTACTGTGAATAAGAACCAACCAACCCCCCCCTTCTCTCTTTTATACACACACACACACACACACATACACACATTTTCTTTCAGTCTTTTTACTCCCTCTCTCTCTTTTTGTGGTTTGTTAATCTCACGTTCCCCTCACGTCTTGTAAAAAGCCTGATCGATTGGCTATGTAATTTTCTTCCTGTGTCTTTTCTTTTCTTGATAACCTTTGAGGGTGATGACCTGTTTATTCATTATAATTATCTAATGTGAGGAAATGATTTACAACCACCTTTCAACTAATTTGGAGAAGAAATTAAATAAATAAAAACATTTTTTAACTGTTTTAATTTCTTTCCAGGGTTACAGATACAATTTGAATAGAATATAAAAGCACGTTTTAATTAGATTCTTTAGTTTCAGCTCCAATTTTTATGCGCAATTAAACCACAAGACAGGATCAAATTTAGAAAGTAGGCAAAAATAGATAGAAATTAAATCTTTATAATGACGAACGACAGGAACATTGCAACTAAATAATAAAAGTGCAATTATTAAAGCAGGACAGGAAGGCTGTTTTTATGTTTTTTAAAACGTATTAAATTAAAGAACTTACCTCCGCAACACCTTTTCATTTTCTCCAAATCCTTTTATTCCGTTCACTGCGCTCTCAGAAGTTCATCCACTGGCAGATTTCAGCAGAAATAACCCGATAAAGATGTCTCCTCTGCTCTGGAAGATTAGTTCGCAAAAAAAAAAACAAAAAAAAAAAACTTTTCAGCATGTGTCGACTCAATTAAATCTGCCCTCCTCACTCAGCTCTGGAGAGGATGAAGGAGAAAACGCAGGTGATGTCGAGTCGATCCTATAAATGGATGTATTGATCATATTAAAGATGTTACACTGGAGAGGAGATAGTCACAGGATGGAGCTTAAATATTGACGGTCCGCTGACTTGGTGTGTGTGGTCTGTGTGACAGACTGAATGACGGCGGAGCCTTTTTGTACCTCCTCCTCCTCCTCCTCCTCTCTTTCTACCCTTTTCTCCTTTTTTTCCTCCCCTCCTTCCCATCCCTGTCTCTCCTTCTTTCGTTGTCCTCCTCCTCGGTGCCGCTGGTGATTCACCGGGTTGACGCATCACAGCCTGAGCCGCTGAACCACGGGACTTGTCACAACTCATTTCTGTCTCTCTCCAGTCGTCATCCTCCTGAACGCGATCTGACTGCCGCTGTTTGATCTTTAATCTGCCGACCTTTAATAAGGTGTGAGTCCGGCTGGATCAGTTCACTGCGGGCCATGAGGACCCGGCAACCCTGCGACCCTCCGATCACCCAGCAAAGCAGATAATTACATGTTCTCTCTCGCTGCTTTATCTCTCTGTCGGCCCAACTTTCTCACAAGTGTTAACCTGGTTTTCTTTTTATGTAGATTTTCTTTTTTCTTTTCAATTTTAACTTTTATTATTCAAATTATTTCAATTGACAAATATGAGCGATAATTTCCCCCCTCGCCTTATTTACGCAAAACAAGGCCGCAAATTAGTGTTAAAATAACTAATTAATTAAAACGTATCTTGAATATCTATTGGGAACTATTAGGATAGACAAAAATAGATTAATAACAGGGTATCGCATTAAGTCAAATAGGCTATATGATTTCATTTAGAGGCCTTTAATGAGGATATTTCGAGAGAAATAATTTACTATGAATTTAGAGGCCTCTCAGTCGCGACGCAAGTTATCAAAGGAGGGAATATTCAGTCTGTTTCTGAGGATGAAGACGAATGTTTGCCCGCTGCTCTGAGTTTCTTTCCTCAGGTTTTAGCCTTTATTGACAGTGGGATTAGGGTGATCTTATTCTCTCACCTCCAGCTGTCACTCAGTCATATAACAGCAGCACACACCGGGGCGCGCGCAGGTTAGATGCGCGTGCACGAGGGAAGAGACCCTCAGGTAGACGCGTCACCGGGTTGTCCTGAAACTGTAGTTTATTGGTTTAAATGAAAACAAATCCCTGCCGCTCCCACGGGAGTCAGGGCCTCTTGGTAAATTCTTCCATAATCACTCGGATAGCCCGACCGGTTTGTATCGCTCTCAGATTGAAACCCTCCTGGGGGCCTCGGGACTCTCAGGGGCCCCACAGGCTCCAGGGTTACTGTGTGTCAACTGGTTTTGAGGCAGTATACACGCCACTAAAAAATAATATCACCTGACACGATAAGAGCCTGAAATAAGTTTTAATATAGGCTACTGAGACCCTGTTCTTTGGGGGGTTTTATTTTTTATTTTTGTGCTTTACTGTTGCATTTTCTTGAATTAATTTGTTTAATCAAATTATTGGCTTCTCGGCCAATCCAGGACTATGTAGAAAAACTATACACAACGCTCAGAGAGTGGAAGGAACAGACGGGTTTATCAGGGGCCACACTGTTCATTTTTATCCCACGGCTCTTAGTTTGAGTAATGAGTTTTATCTGATGTTGTGCCTCATTAAGTCTGCTCTGTATCATGCACAAATCTAAATAACTACTTAGACCATAGACTGTATAAAGACTGTGACTTAATAATTGATGTAGTATCCTTTCACTCTTATTATAAACTACTACAGATGTACTTTCACCTGCACTGTTGCACTCTGTGTTCTGTTTAATATTACAACTCTGACATTATAATAGAAAAGACTAGGATAGAATAGAACAGAGCAAAATAGAATAATATATTGTCTAATAATAATATAAAGGCCTATTTCACCAGCTGTGTTGTGCGCCACCCAGTGGTGATGAGGAGTCACTGCAGTCTGCTCTACCGGTCTGTTTTCAAACAGGAGTTGCAACTCGATAGTTCAAGTATTACACAAACATCTGCATCTAAAACACTTCAGGTTGTTTAATGTTTTCCATTTAATGATTAAAAAAAAAAAAAAACTTCTTCGCCCAACCGGAAGTAAATACAAACCCCAACCGAGTGTTTCCTGTGACGTAGGGCTAGCCCCCGATGCTACACGCGGGAAACAGGCGAAGCGGCTCATCACATTGACAGTAAGACATGAAGTTTTATCACGTTTTATTCTATCGCTTGTGTAGAAACTCGTTTGTGGGATGTCTGTAAGTGACAGAGCAGTAAATATTACTGACATGTTTAATTTGGAGCCGTTTTCGTTTGCCT